TTTGTGGCAAGCTCAGCCCACCCTGGGAGTGGGGCTGGCCTGGCATGTGGTGCTGGGGATTGAAACTTGGTTCCCTGCACCAGCCTAACCTTGCCTAAGCAGGTGCTTTAGACTACTAAGCTATCTTGGCGGCCCCCGAGAACTTCTTTATCCTCCTGCTTCAGCCTCCCAAAATGCTGGTGTAACAGGTATGCAACACCATATCCAGTCCTTTCCTGTCCTTATTCATAACACAAACTGAACCGCACATGGTCTTGACATGTAGCAGGTGAATTATATCATATATATGTATTACTGGGGACAAACGCCTGAATTGCCCAGTGTGGTGGGCTACACCTGTCATCTAGCTACTTGGGATGTTAAAGGCCAAAAATTGAATTTGAGGCTACCTTGACCAATTTATAGGGTCACTGTCTCAAGAAAGCTTTGGACCTGCCTGGCAAGTACCAGGTCTAGAGTCAATCCCTAGTTTTTTTTAAAAAAAGAATGCTTTGGGCCATGTTCAGTGGCTCAGACCTGTAATCCCTGTACCAGGGGGCTGAGGCAAGAGGACAGTTGTGAGTTTGAGACCAGCCTGCATTACAAAGTGAGCTCAAGGCTAGGCTGAGCAGCACAGTGAGACTCTGTCTCAAAAAGACAAAACAAGGGCCAGGGAGATAGCTCAGTAGAACAAGCACTTGCCTGGCAAGTGCAAGGGCCTGAGTTCAGGCCCTGGTTCTGAAAACAAACAAACAAAAAAAACCACTAGCTAATGTGTAAAGAAAACACTAGAATACTACACAGGTAAAGAAAACACGGCTTTAAGCAGTAAAGAATTTGTTAAGAAGGACATCTTCAGTTATCAGGTATTTTGACCAGAAGGTAGTACTGGAAGTAACTTGTAGTAAGAGAGAAAGGATAAAAAGGGTGTCTTATAATACACACATACCTTTTTTTTTCTTTTTTTTTCAATTGGCGGAACCAGGGATTGAACTGAGGCCCTTGCACTTGCCAGGGAAGCGCTTATTCTACTGAGTTATCTCCCCAGCCCACACATAGCTTATAAAGGCCTTTTTAAGTGTATGCAGGGGGCTACTAGAGATTGAGCGCAGGGTCTGCACTGAGCTACATCCCTAGCCACCTTATTTTTTAATTTGTGAATGGCC